TCTCTCTCTCTCTCTCTCTCTCTCTCTCTCTCTCTCTCTCTCTCTCTCTCTCTTTGTTTTTTCATCATAGAGGAGACGTTTCTTTCTTTCTGTTTCCCAGGATCAAAATATTGCCACCGGTGGTCTTTGAAAATTTGAACTCGTTGGAAACGTTGAATCTGCAAAACAACAAGCTCGTGCACATACCGGAGGAGGTGACTGAAAATATCGTGGATACATTGCGACACATCGATATCACGGGTAAATGTCAAGGAGTTCGTTTCCTATTTATCTATAGATGTGCGATGGAAAAGTTTATCAATAAATTTTAATTTTTCGCGATATCTCAACTAGAATTGTTGTTGAACGCGATAAGATAGATTTATCTCGAGCCAATGAATTTGAAATTATGAAGGGAAAATGAGAAGAAGAGGAGTAGGAAGGAAGAAAAGTTATTTTTTTTTTTTTTTCTCAATCTTTTTCTTCCACAGACAATCCTCTGGTTTGCGACTGTGAGCTACGATGGTATTCCATTTGGTTGGGAAATCTACGCGACAAGGATGACGAGAGGATGTCGAGGAAGCACACGGTGTGCACCATGCTCAGCGAGAACCGAGAGTATTCTGTTCAGAATATACCGTTGGAGAGAATGGGTTGCGTCGGGAAGAACGCTGGAAGAACCTCGTCGATGGGCACCTGTCACGTTTACACCGATACGATGTTACGATTACTGATCGTCGCCGTTGCTATGCTCTAACTGCGATGTCCGATCGTGTGATGCGCTCGGACACCTCAGTTTTCCTCAAACGCGAACCTGTGTCCCCCTGATTCGCGCGAAAAATTCCCTACCGACGCCGTTTTCCCTTCGTTTTTCGAAACCGCGTTCCTCGAATTTATTATCTTTGTTTTTATCGTCGAACAATCGTGTCACGGTCGCGGAGACGTGACACGATTGAACGATCGATATCTATTTTTCATTTCGCGATTTTAAGCTTTGATAATGTTGATAGAAGTATCGAGAAAACTGATCGATCGTAAAACATCGATTAAGTTAAATTAAATTGTGAGAAAAATTAAGTATCTTGCAAAAATCAACGTAAATCGATCTTTTTTTCGTTGGAAGAATGAAATGATTCGTCAGATCATTTTTGAAAAATATTTATGATCCATCATGAAATTTTTGTTTGAAACGAAAAAATAACCATGTGATTCATAACGAACAACAATCGATGAGTATTTTGACATATTGATCACGATATCGTTCGATCGAAAATTGAAGGATAATACGATTGAATTATGGCGGCCATAATTATCTCGATCGTCTGATCGATTAAATTTCGATCGTAGCGTTCGATTCTAATGTAAATCGAAAACCACGCTCGAACGGTGTAATAAAAGGGAGAAAGGAAAAAACTCGAACGATAACAGGGTGAAAAAAGGCCCTACCATGTCGTAGTAAATGTACAAGCCTTTTTCATCGAACGTTACATATCAAGATCGTTGCCAAGTATTTTATGGATGTCTGTTAAAGCTCGTGCGAGAACGCGAGATGCGTAGTATAATTCGATAGAAAATTCGAATGTCTGTAGTTTAGCCATTTTATGATCCACGGACATTCATCTTATACATATCAACCCGTTCCTGGAATCATTGAGACGAAGTCATCGACATTTCTTAATGTTGCACTTCGTACGTCACAGTCTCGTCTAGTAATAATATAAAAAATAGATCGTCACATTTCAATTTTCATTGTTGCTGAAAGTTACGGAGATATTCAATTAACTAATTTGGCCAGTATACTATATTTTGTAAATTAATTTATCTTATTTATTAATCGTTATTATTTCCCTTTTTTTTTTGTATCTTGATATATTTATTCCATTTATTGATATTTATTTTCAGAAATATTACTACGATCAAGAAACATTCGATCAAAATGATCAAAATGGTCAGGATATCGTATAGATCGATTCAAACGAATTCTTCAACTCGCAGTCTTTGGCGGTGATATCTTGAGATCATTCAAATGTTTAACTTCGTTCACAAAGGAGCGGCCAGTCGAAATGAAATAACGACTGCTGATAGAACGTAATATACTCAACAGGAAACCGACACTTGTCAATTCCGGTAGAGCACGATTCATTGAAATGGCTCGTCGCTTCTGTTTTGTGATCCTCCACTGCTACTCTAAACGTCGACACTTATACACGCGTCATAAAATTACAACCGCCTTTCAGCAACGCCGCAAGATGAAACGATAAAATGATAGTGTACGTCGCAGTTACGCTTTTGCCGCACGATCTTTAATTTCAACTAGATGTTTTTAAGTTCCCCTTCTCCAAGCAACACGCGGATTGTGACGTGCGAACACGTAATGCTTCTATCTTCGAGTTGCGAAACGTGTTCGAAGTTAATTCGAAACTTGGCGTGTCAAAGATAACTGTAATATTTTTCGACGGACAAGAGAAATTCGATTGTTATTACGAAACGAAGAAAGTATAAAGACAAATCCTGCATTGTAATATTATATTGTCAGATATAGAAGTATATGTATAATTTTAGGACTCGGTTACAAGTATGTTGATGAAAACTTAGTAAAACACCATCGAACACCTTTCGTACACTATATCGCGTGAGATATTGAAAATACGTTCACAAAACGTAGTATCGTAAAAGCGTTACACACAAGGAAAGTAAATTGTGTTTTACTATTCGATAATTAATATAGAATAATAAAAGAGTAATAATGTTAAGGCATTAATATTACGAGTAATACTTGCATACCGAAATTAGGTTAATAATAATGTTACGTCGTGACGCGAACCATTATTTTAATAAAAATCGAAGGAGATCTTGAAAACATTTGTTTTAAAATTTATTTTTAAACATATAGCTCTACTGAATAATTTTAATCATTTTAACAATTTTAATCAATTGTTTTGTATAAGATAGATTATTATTATTATTTAATTAAGTAAAATTCTTAATATTAATATTCAATAAATTCCAATAAATGTTATTTTTTTACCATGATACTCTTTTATATGAAAATTAAAATTATCTCCTTCGATTAAGAAAAAAAAGGTTCGTACCAAATCACACAACACACACATATCATTTATACGCCCAAAATTTTACCTGTAAAAAAATAGTTAAGGCTTCATTGATATAATCTCTAAAGATCGTATATATATCGTAAACGTATGAGATTTAAGAGAATTTATTTGTTAATATATATATATAATATATGTATGTTACATATATACACATTATTACGATCATCAAAGATATATTATATACTTATATATTATATATATACATATACGCATTGGATGTTTTTTCTAAGAAGTTTCATCGATATGAAAATATCAAGATGTTATTTACATATTATTGTTACAAGCGAATTGTTCGATTATGGATTATTTAATTGCATCATTTATTTGATATTTATCCAATATTAATTTTCCTCTGAAAAATTTTCTTTGATAATAAAAATTTAATTCGAATAGATATTAAGTTTGATTTACGATACGCCGAGTGGAATTCTTTGCAGGCCCTACATATAGCTTAGAATCCGCGGAAGGCATATCAAAAATAATTTTTTCCAAATATTAAATTAATATCAATTATTATATATATTATATTATATTAAATTTCTAGTAAAACGTTCGCTTGAACAATAGGATGTGAATGATCATAAGTTGACAAAAAATATCAGTAGATACAGAAATAAAGAAAATAGTAACGTTAGCATAGATGCACTTATCCAGTGAGACAGGAGTTTAGATCCCAAGATTAAAGACTGAATCGAAGGGAAAAAGTAGAAAAATATACAAACATATTTGTTATGATATTAATTGTAGAAATACATTTTTAACTTTCTATTTCATTTTATTTATCGATAATAGTATATTTATTTAGAAATTTAAAAAAAAAATTTGATATAATTAATTTGATATATTGATAATTTAACATATGATAATTATAAGTTTCTTCTTAATTTCTATATTGATATATAGTACTAGTGATAAAGAACACCGGGACTCCTGACTCAGTGTAGTGAAACATATCCTTTTTAGGTGATCGTAGAACGATGAAATGGGTTAGTCACTTGCGCATATTCGCGTTGAAGGCACCCAAAGAACCATGTCGAGACATATCTCTGATGGCCGTAAGTTTTAGTCTTGCCGGCTGCGTTGTTATTATTACTAATTATTATAAGCGGTATTTTTGTACAGTGTCTTACAGTGATCGAGTCGTTGCAAGCGCAGCCGACGAGCCATTCACGGCATAGCCATATTATACATAATATAAATATATACACATATTTATTTCAATTATATTATAGCGCGTAATACTCTGATAATCTCTCTTTAACGTACACATAATACATACAGAGATGCGTATACACATATATTAAACATAAATTAAAAAAGACATTAATTTAACAAAACTAAAAAAAAAAAAAAAATGAATGAACAAGTAAAACATATAAAGAATATAAATAAGTCAAAAAATCCTCTTTACACCTGAAAGACCGAGCTATGCTCTATTTCCCAAATCTCTGTCTCTTTGTTTTTACCGTATTTCGGTGGATATCTTCGCTCTAATATATCTCGGTGCTCTCTCATACTGTCCGCTTCGTTACTTATTAAACTCATTTGAACTTTTCTCACTTTAGAATTATTGCGTACGCTGATTATAACACATACAAACATAGACACGTTTACACGAGCATGCAAGCATATAATTTTTCCAAGCATAGGATACACGTATAATAGATTCTACGGATATATTACTGTATATGTTATTTCTTTTTTGATTAAGATATAAATAATTAATCTGTATAAGGAATATACAAAGATCGTCTGAAATAGAAATGAGAAACAAGTATTGGTACACATGCGTGCATTTATCACAAAGTACATACATATACATGTACACACGCACACAAGAAATTCATGCCTAATAAACTGACATATCGGTGTTATAACGTATAAATATAAATATAAATATGAATATAAATATATAAATATAAATATTATATAAAACACAGATACACATGAAATTCGTCTGTATATGTCTATAAATATTGTTACATATATATACATATATATATATATATATATATATATATGGTCATTATAATGATAATGATTACGTGATATGTATTATGAAACATCTTTTTCTCGCAACCAGTCCGCGATACGGGCATCTACTCAGATTCTAATGTCTATATGTCATTGTTTATTATGTCGTTAATAATTAACGTGTATATGTGAAAGTTTCAAAACGAATAAAAAGTACCTAAGCATATAAACATAATTTTACTTCCATTTTCTTTATAAAAAACTTAAACTGTGAGAAAGGAAAAAGATAAGAGAATAATGAGAAGATACAGAGAATAATGAGAAGAACAGAGATAATGAGAAAATATTGAAATCAACGCCATTTTCAGAGTGCCGCAAATGAAACATACAAAGAAAGAACAGAAAATAAAGAAAAGAAAGTAAGAAAAGGATAGTGATAGGCTAAAAAATTAACTATTAACGCCATCTCTTAAATATTAAAGGTATCTCTTCAAAAAGGATAAGATAGAAAAAGAATTGAAAATCAGCACCATCTCTTGAATGTTTTTAAAACTTATTTTATTTTTGGAGATATTATATCCAAAAGATGGCGCTAATGGTCAATTCTTGATCTATTTCTATCTTTTTCTATCAATTTTCTATATGTGTATTTATCTATATGTGTCTATTCCTTTCTATATGTGTTCTTTCTGCGGCATTCTGAAGATGGCTCTGATTTCAATATTTTTATTCTATCTTTGTCCTTTTCTTGTTACGCATTCTTTTTATTTATACTTATTCTTGGCGAAACGTGAGGTATGAGATGTCACTTTCCACTATTTCTTTTTTAAACTACAAAATGTTTTAATTTTTAATTTTTAAAAAATATAGATATTACATTTCCGACTTTATATTAAATGTTTAGAATAATAACTTTGCGAAAAATAGCAAAAATGTATTGAATATTAAGTCTTTTTCATCAATATTGTTCATGTATAAAATAAGAGTAAGGTTATTTTATGTTAAGGTTATTTTAACAATTAAATATTATTGTTTTGAATGTTATTAATGTGAATTTGAATTAATATATATATATATTTTTTTTATAATCGTGTATTTTAATAAACGTAAATTAATTTGATTAATTATTTAATACAAAAATATTATAGTTTTATCTTATAATTTTTTAATTTTATTATAATTTTATTAAAATATGTAAAATATTTCATATTCATTATTATATAATTAAAAATAAAGTAAAATAATATTTATTTATTTATTTATTAGTAATATTTATTTTCAAAAATTTGACTAAAATATATATTTTATTTATTTTAACTAACTTAAATAATTAATTTTAAATATTTATAATAAAAAATTAAAATTTATAATACAATTTACTTTTATAATAGTAATAATTGATTATGCATTTAAAATTTAATTTTAAAAAATTATATAAATAAAATAATTTTTAATTTTTTTAAATTATAGATAATTTCAATTAATTGTTAAAATATGACTCGATATACAAGAGCTAAAGGTTCAAAAGCTTCAAATGAAAAAATACCTAATGAAGCTACTCCATGGCATGTAATGAAACAGCAATTAATTGAAAATTTATCTAAAAAGCAAGAATTTTCTGAAAAAACAAAATCTGTTAAAGAATTATTAGAAAATAAGCAAAATAAATTTACAACTAATAATATTGAAAGTGTTAATAATTCCTGGGCAGAATTTCCAGATAACTCTGAAAGAGAAAAAGATTTAATGATAAATAAGATCAAAAAAAACCAAAAGATACAATTAAATAAAGCAGAAATAGAAAATGATACAAAAATTAATAAATCAAATATATCATTTGATAAATTAAATAAAAAAAGAAAAAAGAATGTACAAGATATCTCAAAAATTGAAAAAAATAAAAATGATGTAACAATCAATACAAATGAATCACAAAATGAGAAAGTTATACCTTTTAAACGTCAAAAATATAATAAAGAAAAAAGTTTGAATGAAAATTTATTTAATATTACAGAAAATAATAATGATAATTTTGCATTAAAGAATACAAACAATAACAAGAATATAAATGTAAAAATTAATCAAACAAGGTTTAATAAAAATTCTATCACTAAATCACAAAAGTATAAAGATATTCCAAATAAATTTGGTATGAAAAAATTTGATAATCAAAAAAAGAAAAAAAAACTACCAAAAATTCGAGATGATAAAGAACACAAAAGAAGAAAACCAGATTTAGGATCTTCAAAAATAATCATCAATGGTATAGAAATAGAAATTGTAAAATTTAATGGATTTCCAATAAAAAAAGAAGATGCAGATAGATTAAATGATTTAAAACAGAAAATGATTATGAAAGGTAGATTATATAAGATATATTTATTTATATTATATATTTAAAACATTTCTATATTTTATATATTTTTTTAGGCATTCCACAAAAAGAAATAGATACAACAATGAAATTAGAAAGGAGAAAAGCTGAAAAAGTATTAGCTAGAATTAAGAAATCTGTTTGTTTCCATTGTCGTAAAGCTGGACATAATTTATCTGATTGCCCTGAGCTTGGATCAGAACAAGCAGGAACAGGAATCTGTTATAAATGTGGATCAACAGAACATACACATTTTGAATGTAAAGTAACTAAGCCAACAGAATATAGATATGCAACTTGTTTTATTTGCCGTGAACAAGGGCATATTGCTAAACAATGTCCTGATAATCCTAAAGGAATCTATCCTCAGGGAGGTGCTTGTAAAATTTGTGGGGATGTTACACATTTAAAAAAAGATTGTCCAGATTTAATTAAAGAAAAGGAAGAAAATATAATTACAGTAAATACAATTACAAATGATAATGTAGAATCTTTAGAAGAAAAAAATATTATAGACAAAAAAGATGATAAAAAAACTAAAAAAATAGTGAAATTTTAATAAATTATTTTAATATAGATAAATATATGTATTTTTATATAAGAATAAATTTTTTATGTGTAATTCAATGAATTATCAATTTGCAATGTAAACATAAGATTTATTGAAAGTTATATATGTTTGACATGTATATACATACATTTTCTTCATACATACACTTTAATGTTAATTAAATCACGTCAAAAATCTGATATCAAATAAGGTATAATTATTATTATAATTTATTGCCTATTTACATTCTATTCGAATTCATAACTGAATTAAAACTTTTTACATGTTAATTGTAACTTTTTACATATTTAGTTAATTTGAACATATTTAAATAATTTTTTCTAAATTAAAAATAATAAATTATTTAATAATTTTTATGATATCAGATTTTTTCCTATGTACAGAGACAAATTATAAAGATATATTTAAATATACGAATATTATCTGTACATAGTACTTTCTTATACATACACATTTTTGTAAAATTTTTAATATTAGTTTAATTAATATTTTTATATTTGATTTGTTATATAAATGACATATAACAAGTAGAAATGTATGAATAATTTTTCTCTATTGTGGTTTTTTGAGACATCTAAGAGATGACTCAAAATTATATTTTAATTCACACAATATTAACCTCATTAAATTATAAGTCTGTACAATTTTATATACTTAAAATAAACATTGTCATTTGAAGTACGAATTTTATGAATATATAATATATATTTATATTTGTATTTCTATATTACATTTGTTCTTATACAAGTTTTATATATAATATAATATATAAACTCTCTATATTTTATATTAATTTTCTACATAAAAGTTATACTTTTATCATCCCTAATGGCAGACAAATAATATTACTACTGCAATGATGATCATTGCATGATGAAAAATCATTCATTCGTACCAATCAAATTTTCAATTTATATATTAGATAATTGTATTCTTAATTAATTTTCATTCACTGCAATATCATTCGCTATCATAATTATTTAAATAATTCCATAAACTAAATTACTAAATATTAAATATAATAATTAAATTAAACATGACTCTATTGCAACAAGTGTAACAAGAAAAACTGATTAATTTATAATTATTTGAAAATATACGATATTAAATATCGTTATAAATCTAATAAGAAAATATACGAAACATTTACATGAAGAAACTTGTATTTTTGTTTCGAACTTTTAATATATATATTTTTTTTTTTAAGCTTATGTTCAAAGTACACAAAAATAACATAACGAAAAAGGAATTTTTCAACTTTTAAAAAAAAAAATTTATTAATATTACAAATGAAAAACCAAAAATTATAAAGAAAAAATTGTAAAAATGCAACATCATTCAGAAATAACTTGAATAATTCTTATTTTTGTGAACACAAGTTTCTTAATTATTTTTAATAATATTAACTTTTTTATCATAAATAAATTTATCATTTTTATAAATTTTTAAGGTTTCGCTTTTACAAACTTTTAATGCAAAATATACGCAGGAATATTCTAGAGTGCATTACCGAAAAAATAGCAAATCATTTTTATTAATTTAAATTGATACAAATATTAAATCGATATACAATATGAAAATTTTAAGCAATATAAACTATTACATTAAACATATTTTGAGCTTATTATTCATATTGCCTATCGATCAAAAAATCGAGTATTCTCGATATTCCATAAAACATCACCATTCCCCGATATTTTATGAATACATGCATTTCTTTTAATAAAAATATATGAATATTTATAGTAATAAAAATAATTAATTAGAAATTCAAATACGAAACATGGAACATTTAATGCATAGATTTCATTTGATTCTTACTATTTTATTTTAGCCTCTTGATTTCCAAAATTAAAATCAATTTTTAAAATACATATAATTGACAAATATGGAAATATTTTTTTATAACTTATTCACTTGTGTTACAAGTTTTAATGTTAATTTTCAACCGTTTTTTTTTAAATGATATATTGTATATTATAAAAAAAAAAAACAAATTTTAATTCTTTTTATCAAATTTTCAATAAACAAAAACAAAAATAATTTAATAATAGATTTTTAATTAGAGATAACTTAGCATCACATTATAAAAATTAAAATCATGATTTTGAAAGTTACAAAGCTCACAGTTAATTTATATTTACAAAAAAAAATCATTTAATATGATTTATTAAAGATATAAAATAAGAAAACGGTTGAATGTATTTTAATTCCCTTTACCATTATCTTTGGTATGTAACACTTATGTTATGGCCAATTTATTAAATTAAGAAGTACCAATAACTAACATTTTCAATTTTGTAATTTCAGAATAAGTTTTCAAAATTTGAAAATTCTTAACATTATACTTTTTCTTAGAATGTACCTGCTAGGTAGCTTCAGCTTTATGTGCAGATTCTATAATTTCCTTAAGGCAGCGACCGAATTCCTCAATTATAAGTCTTTGTGATGTTTCATCATCAAACATATTACGTTCTGCTTCATCAGCTTGTGCCATTAAACATTGACATGTTATTTCTACTACTTTATCAGTTAAAAAATTAAAAGGTTGCCTACGAAATATAAATTTGTGTCAAAAATATATATATTTATATATATATATTTTTTTTTTTAAATATACCTTGCACCCGTATTTGACGTTGCAGGAGGTCTGAAAGCCATTTCTGATAATTGTAATTTTGTCTTGTTTAGTGTAAGTTGTGCAGTTCTTACTTCAGCTGCTTCAGCTAGATCTTTTAAAGATTTTTTCTCTAGATTTGGTTCTTCTACATTACGACATCCTATACATTTACAATTAGCAGAGCATGGAATCTTAGCCTATATAGATAAAAAAAAGATTTTAGTAACAATATTTAATTACTCTCAAAAATATTTATATTTAAGATTTATGATACCTCATAACATTCACAATAATTTTTTAAACATCCACTTCGTTTACAATTACAACCTTTGTTATGTCTACGTATATCATCGCCAGTTTCACGACCCTTGCCAATTTTTGGACGAAAAGCATTTGGATTACGTTCCAAACACGACTTAATAGCACGTTGTCTTTCTTCTTCATTTCCAAGATTATTAGAACAATTATTACAGTTACACATATGACAAAATTCTCCATTCGCAAAACAATCGCAATATCTGCAATAAAATGTATTTACAATTTATTATTTTTATTTAATAAAATACGATTTAAAAAATGATCATTTATTGATGTCACAATGCAATATTTCTTACTCCACATAACAATCTTAAAGAATATTAGTTTTTATTATATCATTCTGTAATCAATATAATAAAAAAAATGAATAGCAACCTGATGTTCAGTTTTTAAAAATAGAATCATAATACTAATAATAACATTATATATCTATTATTTATATTATATGTATATTACATATTTTATTATTCAATGTTATACTTACAATTTAAGACATTGTGATTTAGTACAATTACATGGTTTTCTTGGTCTAATACCATTTGGTTCAACACTGGTATATGATCTTTGAGAACTTTTACTTTCTATAACAGACCCCACAGATAAAGTTCCTGTTGAACTCTGTAAATTTTGTGAATTACTTAATAAATTGGTTGTTGTTTGCTGAGTTTTCAGTTTTACATCATCCGCTGACTGCAAACACAAGTAATATTATTATATTTATATTATAAATATATAATGAATAATATAAATAATCAATTTATTTATTTACTTCATTTCAATTTTTTTAAATATTTAATATATCAAACCTGTTGTTGAATATATTGAGCTGGTAACACTACAATATTTCCTACATTTGAATTAGTTGAAAGAACTGCTTGTCCAGATGCTAATTGACTTAAAGCAGATGCCGGAATAGCAACTGCATTTTTAGATTGATTACCTACTGTTGCAGTTGCCGGAATTAATAACCTTTGACCACTTCCTGTTAATGTTGCTTTAGGCGCAACTGTTCTTAATGATTGATTACTAGTATTTAATGGAACTACCTATTTTGTTTGAAGGAAAATTATAAATATAAATAAATCTATTATTGTTTATGATTATATGTTCTATTTTTACGAACCTTAACAATTTGTTGTTGACCTCCTATTTTTTGACCAACTCCAACTGTTTGTAAAGTTGTTTGTGATTTTGTTTTACCTACAGTAACAACATTTGTAGTTCCTGATGATGGAGTACTAACTAATCTTACATATTGCACCTTAAAAAGAATTATTTATATAAAAATTTATACAAATATTATAATATTAAAATATTATAATTTATTAATATTAATTAAAAAAATATTACTTGTCTTCCAGGCATCTGTATCTGATGTACTTGATTAGATCCAGTTACAATATTTTGATTAGCAGGTATTCTAATAACTTGTCCACTTCCAAGAACAGTTCCAGGTTTTAAAGAACTCTATAAATATATTATCTTATTAATATAAACATAATGAAAATATTAAAATTATATCATGCTTTATGAAATATATAAATCTTAGAAATGTAGACCAACAAACCTGTCTTATAATCACTTTTTGAGGGCTTTGTTGCACAGATGATTTATTAGAAGAAGAAAATGACTGCTGATTTGAAATTGTTGAAGATTTAATTTGTGTATTTACTGTAGGAGCTGGTAATATTTTTGTAGGTGATTTTATTGTATTACTTGGAACTATAGTCATTTTAGAAGGTTGAGAACTTGATGATTGCACTAATTTATTTACAATTATTCCCTTTAACAAAAACAAAAATAAATTAATTATTTCTAATAAATCATTCTATTAAATAGTTATTAATTGGAAGAAGTTTTTTATCCTTCTTTTCCATAATAAGGAAGCAATACTTACTTTTTTTTTAATACTCACTTGTTTCTGTGGTGAAGAGGGTAAAATATGTGGGACTTTATTAGTGGAAAGTAATCCCATTTGTTGTGCTTGTGCTAATGTTATAGTTTTTGTTGGACTTGTAACATCTTGACTTGATGCACTATTATTTAAAAATTTTATTGCTTGTGTTTGTTGGTTTTCATTTTGAGAACTTGTTATAAGAACTTGTTGACCTGATTGAGCTTGATTTCCAGTTAATATCATTTTTGTATACACCTAAAAATGAAAATAAAAAAATCTTATTAAATATTTA